TTTCTTTCTTTCTTTCTTTCTTTCTTTCTTTCTTTCTTTCTTTCTTTTTTCTTCATCTTGCCTTTTCCATTTTTCCAAGAGATGACACCCAATTCTTTATCAGCTCAAAAAACAGAACGAAAACACACACACGCGTGGTTGCATGTTAAAAAACCTTACACACTGTGTTAGGGTGAGGCACCAGATCAGGAGCAGGGCAAATGATTTGGTCGAGCTCCCAGTGTGAACAGAAGACAGGGTGGCTGCTGGCTTCAAGACAGAGAAGGAAGTGTGAATGTGGCACAACAGTGAAGTTACTCAAGACTTAGAATATGATGGGATGTCGCAGCTGAATGTGAGATTTTGCAACGAATGCCCACTAAGAATCATGTTATCACTTTTGCAGCTGAAATCAAAAGACATTTCTCCTCAGCATTGAAGGATTTCTCTCTCAACTGTGGAACAAAACTTTTCGTAAACACCCCCCTCCCCCAATTTCCTGCCCACCACAGTCTGTTGGAACTGAGCTGGCATGTGGCATTTCCAACAGATATGTAAGGGAGAGCCAAACAACGAATGACAGTTTGATCAGACGGCACACAGTGGAGCGCTTTTCCTTCCACTCTTTCTCTGTCTCCTGTTTGGGGTTCTGCCTCCTGGATCCTGTTACACTGTAGCCCACATCACAACCAGACTCTTATGATGGTGAACCAGACTGATTGTCAACAGAGAGGGATGTGAAGTCTGGTCTGCTTGTTTTTTTTCTCCCTCTTTTTTTTTGTTCTTGTTGCTCTCTGAGTGATGATTGATAAGATAGAAAGACTTTTGCAGAGATTTCTGGTTTTCTGCTTTTGCACATAACAGTGAGCGAAAAAAAAACCAAGAAGTTCACTCTGTCTTTGGTGAGGCAGCTGCTCTTCAAAACTCAGGTCCAAGGTAAAGCTTATCTGACAAGCCCGAACGAGGGATTTAGGAGAGGAACAGACCCCCGCTGACCCTCACCTATGACTCAGACAGGATTTCCTTCTGTGTTAAATCTGACCCTCATCCTGCTGTGGCAACACCCCTTTAACACCAGTTCAATGTGCTCGGGTCCAGCCAAAGTTTAGGCTATATCACGCCGAACAGAGGACTGCTGTGTGATGGCTGTTGGCCCTATGTAACGAGATAGGACTGCTGTGAAGCTCTTTAAGTGCCATAACGCTTGACCTGAAGCTACCACTGTGAAAACTCAAGCTGTGCGAGAGGACTGTTTGTGACAGCGCGGGCAGTTAATGTGGAACATTGGCTGAAATAATGATTCAGCGAATTGATCAAGTGACACGATCAAGTCATTGGAAATACGTGCTTTCAGCTGCACACGCATCTCTTTGGAGAGGGTTTTCAAATCACATGACAGACAGACATTGGGACACAGCTGGGTTATATCGACACTATGTCAAGAATCTTTGCTCTTCCTGCTCTGTTGCTTTAGAGACAGTGTTTAACAGTACAAGGGACACAACTGGGAGGGGGATGTTTGTTACCCTGGCTCTGGGTACATCTGTTCCTGGAGACAGTGTGACACATAGGATTGTATTGGCGGCAGGTCGAGTGAGGGGAATCATTTCTAGCTTCAACTTGTGACCTTCTTGCCCCAGTTAACCCCTCGCATTCCCCATTTCCCCTGCTTATATTACAGTGACCCATCGCAGATGAGATTTTAGTACACTGGACCAGCCTGTCAGTGCTTAAACTGCCATGAGGTCTCATGAAATGGATGCATAATGTGTTTCAGCGAGGTCTCTCAGGTGTTCAGAGACTCGGGTAAATTCCATACCAGAGATCCTATACCTTGGATCCATTACTGACTGTACATTAGTCTGACTTTCAGCTGTCTTGAAAATGCACAAGGACTGACACGGACCTTTCCCATTCAGCACAGCTATTTAGGTACGTGGGCAATTACTTGCAGGTATTTTCTATCAGGGAGACATATTGTGTAATCAGCCTTTAAAAATATATTCACCTAAATATTTTAAAATGCCAAGACTGTTATCCCTGACATCCAATAAATAAATGTAGTTACACAGTCTTTACAAGCTCTGGACTGTAATCAACCCCGCAGGAATTTGGAAAGAAAACATTCCCTTGCAAAAAGAAAAAAGCAAAAAGAAAATAACAGCAGACATAAAGCCAGAAGCCTCATAATCTTTAGCCACCATCAAAAACAAAGCGTGGAGGAGTTGTACAATCAGAAGCAGGCAGGGAGAATGATAGGAGATGGATAGATGAATAGTCATCCAGAACAGATAAACAGCAAGGAGAGTCAAGGCAACCAATAGACACAACAAAGGAGAATGCAAACAAACAGCTGAGATATGCCCACATATTGTTTGGTATTTTCACATCAAAGAGGAGCTGATAAGAGGGGCTGATAAGACTTTTCAAGGCATTGATGCTCAAAACGTCCTCTTAGTCAAAGTAATGATTGAACAGCACTAAAATGCAAGCGTCAGTCTCCACATTAAAGCATTTCTGATAAAGTTTTGGGTCAGTGCTGGTGCTGGCTGGGGTTTTGTAGGTTGAACACTGAATGTCAGAGCAGGGGAGAAGATAACATATTGACAGTTAGAGATACTGGGCTTGGAGCCAAAGTCCTTCAGCTATTTTTAGGATGCTGAGTGTGTGAAAGTACACTGAATGCAAAATTGATGACACACTGCCAAAATCTGAACCTGTGCTGGATTAGCCGTGTCTGTGTGTGCTCATGACTATATGTGCACTCGTTTTGATAAATGCATATACAAAAATGTGCTTTGGCACACAGGTATGGGCAAAAAAAAAATCCAATTTAGACAATGCAGAACAGTGTTTGTGTGCATAATGAAACAGATCAATGATTACTTGGAAGGCCTGCTGAGAGATGGACGTGTCAAAGGGATTAGCAAAATCACTGGAAACAGCTCCCTTGTTTTATAAAGGCCCTCAGCCCTGTGTGCTTGTGAGCGGTCTTGCCCTTGTTTCCTGTGTTTAGATATCAGCCTTGAGAGCCGCTCTTACCAGTATAATTACTGAATATGGAAAAAGCACCCACTGCTTTACCTCAGACTGGGCTGAAGCCATTCACAGAGCAACAGAATAAACTTCTGATCCGCATGTATCAGCGCGTCAAAATTACGTTCTGGGTCATCCTGTGACCTCCCAAACTCAAAAACCTTATTTCAGGGTCATGTTTCCAAGCAAGGATCAAGACAGCTTCATCTGAATAAAACAAATGCTAAAAAAAGGTCAGTTAGGCTACTAATCTTGTGATGAGAATTTAATCAGTCTTACTCGCATGCGAAAACATGGTGTGGATGTACAAATAATGGAAGCAGGTTAGCCAGAATGGGAAATGTACTGCAGGAGGCATTTTGCTTTTATCAAAGTGGACTTATATGGGTAAAAAGAGTAACATGCATGATCAAGGCTGACCCCAAACCAACAGGTTAAAGAAAATTGCGTACACACAGCCCTTGATTAAAGATTAATGCTCCCAAATTTTCAACTTGAGATCACCTAAACAAAACTCATTGCTGTTCTTGTAGTGACGAATTAACATTGGCCCACACACACAGTCCTAATTTTATTCCACTAAAACTTCCAGGTAATTAAGTAAAGGCACTGGGAGATTCAGTTCCGCTGTTTGTATAAAAGAAAATGTTTGTTACTGCACAAACTGTGTGTGCTTCTGTGTTTCTTCCTGAGTGTTGTCTCATATTTCCTCCGGGGCTTGATCCAGGCTGTTGCTAGGTGCCGTGACCTCCAAGAGCAACATTAAGAGTGGGTGAGCCCTACAAGGAGGAGTAGGGCTGTATTTTATTTCCACACTTCCCCCTACCCTAAAGACACACTGTACACCACAACCCCCCCCTGGGCCTGGGCCTGGGCTGTGGTTCACTAATGGGTCATCATTAAGAGCGATACCCATTGTGGTCATAGGTAATGATCTCTTTCTCTCTCTTAAACTGGCAAAGCAGACGAGTCTTATATCTCAAGAGGTGGGAAGCTTTTTTTATATTCTTTATGATAAAGCTGTTTTCATTAAATACTCTCTGCAGAGAAATAGCCTCTTCCATTAACTGTTTATCAAATATCCCAACCCCCACCTGCAGGCTGTAAGTGGAGTGGGGCCGAGCTCTGAGGGGACAAGCTGTTCTGTAACCTCACTGCCAAAGGTACTTTATTGGAGCTCGACTCCAGTCAACTGAGCCGAGAGGGGAAGGCTTCACTTTGTACATCTAGCAAAATAACTAAAAGTGTGAAAGCGTAAGTGACTTTTTACAAAGCTAAGTATAGCTTTTTAAGGGAGACAGACCTTATGGCACACTGCGATCTTTGCAAGATTTCCCTGAATGTTCTCCTTTTTTGCATTAAAAAGGGATGAGACCATTCAGCTGTCACTTCCACAACACAAATATTAACACATTGCTGTTTATCCAGTCAGGCCACCTTCATACTTTGTCACTTGGCACAACCATTTTTTTTTATCTTCACTCATCATCCTCCCAGCTGCAACTGTCATCAGCGAGAGTCAGCAGTTCACATCAAACAAAGCCCGAGGCAGAGTGACAAAAGAGAGAAGACGGTGGGCAAACAAACTGGAAGGCAGACTAAATAACTGCGGCTTGTTTGCTGTGCGAGTACAACACGATCTGGTGGTGTGTGCGCCACTGGCCATGGCTATGAACATTCTATTATGTGTGTGTGTGTGCTCAAGTTGGCAGCAAACATCCGAAACAAAAGTCGAAGCCACAGCTGTTGTCATATTTAAACTTGATACAGGTGTCTGGGCTGTTGTCCTTGTGGAATTATTGTGTGCATGTCCATATCTCCTCTGCACATAAATCATCTTTGAAAATCTATGTAGGTGTGCGTCTGCATTAACAAGGGTCTGTTTGCATGTAAATGTGTTTTGATAGCAATTATTCATTCAGAATATAATTTCATCCTCTTAAACAGTAAAATAATGTTTTACTGTGTTGTGCAAAACAATAAAATGGTTGTGGTCCACTGCGTTGACCCTGAAGACATACAATAATGTCACAAACAATAAAGCAACAGGTGAAAGAGGGATTTCAAAAGACAAGAATACCGTGTTGTAAAGTAAAATTTGCCTGGCCAAAAAGCTCCAACCTGAAGGATGCAAACAACTAGTCTCAATCAGGCATTACTATTCACACAAACGTCATTCAAATGTAATCAGAAAGCAAATCCCTAAAAACACCTGATAGTTGAATCAGTTTAAACCGAGAAAAAAAACATGTATAAACTGCAGTAAACTTGCATGACAATTATTGGGGAGGAGAATCTGTTTGACAATCTGTTAAGACCCCATCATAGCACATAACTGCCCTTAAATTTATGATATAGACATAATGCCTCAAAGTCCAGTAGCTATTATATTTTCTATCTTTTTTCTTTCTACGTTTCAATAGATTCGAGAGAGCTGTTTTCTCGTATCTCAGCATTTAGACTAAGCTAAAGTAAAAGTACCTGGGTAGACATGAGTCTGGAATCGATAATCTATCTCTCAGATTCTCATCTCAATTGTCGCTTGGTTTAAATACTATTTCTTCCTCTCCAGCTGGTGTCCTAAATTAGAAGGTGTCTCTGATTTGCTGTGTAAGCGGTGGAACAGGTTGTAGCAGCTGTCTGGGACGCCAATTGAGCTAACAGTGAGGGGACATCTTCAGAGGTGGGACACCAGTTTGCACATCCCCTGCTAGGTTTATTTTCAGCTGTGATCGGCCCTCCACAGCAGGGGGTCAGAGCGATGTATGGACACCTGAGAATGGGCTGTCCTGACAGACCTGTTTACAGCTGCTCCCCCACAAAGACAGTCACAGATCGCAATGGGTTGTGTCTAAACACAAGCAGCTGTCTTTTTCAAGATGAGTACGCGACTAAAACACACTGAGGACTTTACGTTAATTTTCAAAGTAGCCATCATCAGCAACACCCACTTCTTTTTTGTTTAACCAGCAAATACCTGAGAATAAATTGAGTGTTCATTACATTTTTTTCGTCCATCTTCATAACAAATAGCACTCATCCATGATGACAGATCAGCAGAATCATCACTGAGAAACATCTGGGCCTGAGTCATGACTTGACCCATGTTCAGTAGGAGGTGTGTTTCCCCGTCTGTTGTTGTGTATTTCTGTTTGTGAGAACGTAGTCGTGTAGAGTGGCACCTCCATGGAAAATTCACACAGTGTTAATGTGGGCAGAGCCAAGTAAAATCTGACCCCTTCCACGCTCGTCTCATAAAAAGTCTGTGAGAAACAAGTCCGGTTTAGGTCTCCACCTGTTCGTTTGTTTATAGCTGAGTGGTTTCCAGATCCGGTGAAACAAAGACTGCGAGATGGTATTTTCAGGTGTACTTTATTGTTTGTGTGGGATTTAGTTTAAAGCAGAATTAACCAAAAAACTCTGTGCCCAACTTAACCCTTTCTTTTAATCATTTCATCTTTATTTGAGACGTGGACCTCAGTCATCCTATTCTCTTAGAGACTAATACAACACACAGGGACTTTAGCAGTTCTACAAATGTGACTGGGGCCAGCAAAATAAAGCAAAAATGATCAACAGACTCTGATATGTATGTGGATACAAGTCTTAAAGGCACCTCACTCACTCTGCCATTTTGTGACAGAGGCAGAGCTCCATCTTTGAGCTTTATCTGACATCTAGTGGTGAGTTGTGTCCTAAGCTCCAGCTTTCGTTTGACTTATGAGGCTGCCATTTTGCCCTGGCCTTGAAAATACAAATTGATGTTAAATTCACACAAATGAATGTTTTTGCTTTCTGTCATGAAGTCTCACAAGTGAAACAAAATAAAAAGGCTCAGTTATAGAAACAACAACAAGCAAATAGTTTTATTTCAGTCAAATTCTGCCACCACACTGTAAATTCAGGCTGTCGAAAAATGGCAGCAATGAAAAGTGTTTTATGGAAATTCGCCCACTGATTGGATGCTTTAAGTAGATTACTTTCATTTAGTCGTCTTATCCAGATTATTGGTTTAACAAACATCATTTAAACTGTTCTCTGTGGTTACCACAAGGTCAAATGTGGAGATTCAACAGGAAAGCAATACAATACAGTTAATAGAAAAACTAAATGGAGAAACACAAGTGTTGTGAAAAAGATTTATCCAGACTTGTTGTATTTTCATTCCACTTGGAAATAATGTGAAGATAATAATATTTATGTTCTTTCCATTTTACCTATCTGATCATTGTCCTACTTTATGGTTGTTTTGTTCTTCTACAGATACACAGCAATTCTATACTATGATGGAAAGAGCTTAAACACTGACAATCAGATTTGATTGAAAGTCAGTAAATCCCACACTGGCCCAGGCATTCAATCTCACATCGTCACAAACACACTAGCGCCCCATTTACCCACTTTTTAATCCCAAAGCCTTTTCATTCCGTGGTCAGTGTGCCACCCGTTGCCACAAATCCCTCTTTCCCTCACCCTGCCCCCACATGATTGCATGTGTGTGTTTGCGGGGATGAGTCTGAGTTTAAGCACAGCCTGCCTCCTCATCCAGTAACCTTTTTTTGATCCGGTGCATGTGAATGCTCTGCCAAGTCCAGATACCTGGGCAGACACACAACCAGCAGGAGTCACTGGCCAGTTGGTGGGATTTGACAGTCATTCTTTGGCAATGCTCGAAGGATCTTATGAACGTTCTATTTTTGGGTCAAGTCGAGATCTGCAGTTTTTGACAGAAACACAATGCGCCCTTGTGCTCTTTCCAGCCGCGAAAACTGCGAAAAGGGAGCATATGAGCTGCGAGGAACGACAGACACAGGGATAAATCTGCTTTTATGTCATCATCCGCAGTACTGACTGAAGCTGGCTGACATGCATCACTACTCTGACTGGCATCTTGAGGGAAACCAGCATAATTATCAAGTCCTTTAGAGAATTGTCTCAGTCTACAGCGCTCCACAAAAGTTTCTCTCCATCCTCTGCATCTGAAAAAGCCAGGGTAGAGCAGAAGGGAGGCAAAAGACTTTTCCCTCCCTCCGGGACTGTCCACTGCTGCCGAAGCACATTTACAGATATGTGGCTACAGGAGCAGGAGCCACAGTCTTTCACCAAGACCGCCTAGATGAAACTATTTAAAAGGATATAAAAGAAGCAGTGCGCGCTCTCGGCGAAAGCAACATCAGCACCAGCATCCGATGCGCGTCCCCGCCCCGGCAGAGGCTGCCCGAGATCCCGGGAAGAGGAGTTGGAGCTGTGCGAGTTAAAGTTGGGCTAAAGGGGGGTGAGAGGATGCTGCAGAGGAATCTACGATCTCATTAACATAGATTCGGTGGACAAACGCTTTTCCAAGTGAAGGATGACTTGCAAAATACTGAGCCTATGCCTCTTATTTTTGGGTTTTCAACATTGCTCAGCAGGTAAGTCCTTTGGAAAAAAAATTACCTTTTCTTATTTTTGCACGAATAACTACAGGTAGAATTCCTAAGTGTTTTAATATGTCTTATACGCAAATTGTTGACGTTGGTTCGTATGCTGGGATAAAAAGTTACTGCTAACATTGGGCAACGTAATGGGTGAATAATAATAGCCCACCACCGGAGGGCAAAAGGTAACCTGAGATTTTTGAAGGGCAAAATATATATATATACGCTGCGATCAAACCAGATGTGGCGTTGAAGCCCAGATTGTGTCATGATCGAAGCTTTTTTTTTAATCTGATGGAATTTGAAAGCATTTGATGGGAGACACGGAGTGCACCAGGCTCCCGCGTGTCCTGCAGAGGGAGCGCGTGGTGGTCCCGCTCGCGCTGGACTGCATTGCAGTGCTTTCTCAGCCTGCACGCAAGTTTTTTTGCAGCTTGGGGAGCTCACCAAACACGATGATGCTGTCACTGTTTCTAAGATAATGATCGTCAGAGTGGATAAAAAAAAACGATCACATCAACTGGTTAAAAAATAAAAATAAAAACGGTTTGACACAGCGGTGTTTTAGAGAGCTGGGATCAGTCCTTTCCAGGACCAACCCACTGCAGTACTTTTTTTTGGGGAGGTGGTGGATGGGGGTGCCTTCGCTCCCATCACCTGCTCATGAAGCCCTGCATTCTGCATTTACCTGACAGAAAACCATTAAGGCCAGTGAAACAGTCATGTGGTGGAGTTTGTTAGACAGAGGTGGGGTGGACTCATGTTTAGGGGGAAAAGGGGAAGAAAGAAAGAAAAAGGGCTGGACATCTATACCAGACGTTAAATACATAATAATTAGATGTACGAGTGATGTCAGGCTCAGGACAACCTCGGATGTTCTTTATTGGCTCATTAGTTATTGAAAGGGTTGTGCCTCCAAAAGAAAACTTGGGACATGGGTTGTGGGATGGTCCAAATGACGAGACAAGACTGCTCTGTTGCTGTGTCTGCAAACAAACACACAACTAAAATAAATATTTATTTCCTAAGTCTTTTTAAAAGTTCTTTTTTATTTTTACTACACAAATATGCACAATACACACATCTTTTAGCTGTAAATGACTAAACAAAAACTTTGCCGCTCAGTTAATGATTTATTTGCATTTAAAAAGAAATGAGTTGAACATCTGCCAGTTGAGTAACTCGTTTGTTCATTGGTTGCCAACCCATAAGTTCAGCTGTGTGCTTTGGCTTCAAACTGCCTCCTGATCATTTATAATTGGCCTGTCATATATTTGTTGAGTGGATGTGCACAGTGGAAGAGAGCCAGATTGAAGTTGTGCATCAGCCCCTGAAATGTCTCTGCAGCCCATCCTGGGGCGGGGCCAAGACGCACTTTTTTGTTTGCTTGTATTGTGTGTTTTCGAATTAAGAGTGTGTAATCCCTGTGTATAAATCTGAGGCTTTGTGCCTTTCGTCATAGTTAACAACAAGAGCATGTTTGCTCCAAGGATCACTGCTGGAGAGAATGAGTTTTTCTATTTCTTTGGTCTTTCAGTGAGATTTGAATTAAAGGCAGAACACAATTCACATGTTCTGCATAGTTTTTTTTGTCCCAGGAAGTATTCAGACACCATCCACCATGATGCCTGCCAGGGTATAAATTATTTATTAATATTCCTTTAAAAGAGCACGTTATACCTTGCTATGCCTCTGCCTTGTTCTCTTGCCGTATGATTTTCATATGGTGGCATTCAGCAGATGTCCTCTCTCAGGCAGGGCCGCTGTCTGCTTCCTCAGAAGCCCTGCGGAATAATGACAATCCGAAGAAGCGCTCATTTGCATGCTGTCTATAACCGGCAGCACTGATGTCTCAGCCCCAGACAGACCAACTTGCACTTAGAGCAGACTGATGAGTCAGCAGCAGTGTTGCTACTGCTTCACAGAGCCCACCCCCACCCACCCCAACTCCTCACATCTTCTGAATGACTAGAATTGAGGTACAGACAGCACGATGCAGAGAGGAAAGGGATTGCACAGGATCACAGGGAGAGAGAAAGCCCGTGTGCATGCTTTCGGGTGCACTTTAACTGCTGCATAATGACAACACCCATTTGGAGGGAGAGATGCAAGACAGTGAAAAATCGCCAGCGAGAGAGCGAGGGTAATGGGACGTGATAAAAGAGAGAGGACTTTGGAAGTTGGGAAGGAGATAAAGAGAAGAGCCACAGTGAAGGAAATTCAATCAGACGCTAAATGGGGGGGGGGGTGCAGCGTGCGTGACAGGCCAGCCACGAGGAGGAGTGGACAGGCTAAGTGGCCTGGGCTGACCAGGGACGGAGAGCTTTACAGTTTACAACAGAATGCAAGCAATTCAGTGGCCAACCCCTTAGAAATAACCTGTGAGGATTTCTGTGTGGTTTTCATTTGAAAAAGAGTGACACAGCCATGCACAGCTGATCTATTATTTATCACTGGCAGCCGTGCATGGAATAGTTTATGACAAAATTTGAGTCATTTGATAGGACGCAGGAGCACATGGTCACATTTGAGCTGGTCAGCAAAACAGTGGCGTGTCCTTCGATTGAAGGTGACACTGGTGAATGGCACAGACTCCCCTCCACGCGTTCAGATGCAGCAGAAAAGGGTGTGGACATCCCGTGTGAAAGCACATGACTGCTGTAGTTAATGTCACATTGATGCAGGAAGAAATCTTTGTGCTTCCTCATTCATGTTCCGTCTTTGTAATGGTGGGTTCTGATCACAGTCTTCTATTCCATCTCTGAGTTATTTTGAGTGTGAGGCTGCACTGCACCCTCGCTCACGTGCAGCCCGCATACTATTTCTGCTAACATCCCCTTGGTCCAGTCATTTTGCCTGTTCTTTTCTCCACAAACTCTGCTAATGTATAATGGGAATTACAAAGCAAACCACACAGCTGCCTTTCCCGTTAAAATCATTATTTTTGTACCTGTAAATGAATTCAAAGCGTCTTAAAGCAGTAAACTGAAACAAAGGCCAGACAGGAGAGTTATTCAAGTCCCTAAAAATTTATTTTTTATGTGTGTGTGGACCTACGTGCTCCCTTAAGTAAGACTCCATCTGTTTTTATTTTGAGTGTGTCTATATCAAATCTACAGAGAGTATTAAATTGAATTTGTTGGCACTTAAAATGAGACAGTGTTTCTCTTGCAGCTGGAGGTGAGGGCAATGGGCATTTATCGTAAGCCATGACAGAATAAAGATTAGGCAGAATTATGATGACTTTTAACAGGCCTTGGGCTGGAGAGCGAGCCTGGGCAGATTGATCCCATCAGTCTAACAACCACACGAAGAATAGCAACTCACTATGTCACAGCCACAGCACCGCTGTCATGTAGAATGAGATGCTTCTGTCCGAAAAACAATAATTTTTCTTTTTAAATAACAAAAATATCTCTGAATATACTTTGATATGGAAATGCTAAGAACGCAGAGACATCATTTTGATGCTATAACGTTTTTATTTCGTCAGCATTGCCCTGATCTGGACAAGAAACTATTTTGGCCTCGTTTGAAATGGGATGATACATTAGTTCTAGTCACGCTTAAATTAGAAAGAAATGAAGAGGTAAGGATGGCATGCAGTGAATTTGTAAGAATTGCTGGTTAGATTTATGAGCTCTGCTCCACCTACCTGTGAGGAGGCTGTCTGGAGAATGTGCATTAACTGTGAAATATCAATCACTGACCTTGTTATGTGAATACTTCTAAGAAAACAACTCTGCCTATTGAATTCAGTTGATTGTATCTAATATGTTCCCCAGAGCACAAATGAAACTGTAATCAAATGCTATATGTGGTAATTGACAGTGTAATATCAAGCTGAACAGTCTTCTCCTTAAATGGTATTCTAATCACAGACATTTGTGTTGTCCATTTTGTCACTGCAGGAGAATGTGTTGATCCACTTGTTTCTGGGCTATATGCCTCCTCCTTCCTGGCCTCCTCCAGATACAACTTTCTGTATTCAGCCAATTTTGCCAAACTCTATGGTAAGTTCCAATTCCATTAATAATTCAATTGATAAAATAAAATAATCTTTGAACCTCTCAAAGATACTGGTGTGCCAACAAACGTAGCACCAGTGTCCTGCCATTGGAGCATAAGTATATCCATTAGACAAAAAATATAAATCTATTTGATTAGCGCTTTAAAATCTCTTACAGACTGTATGTTTCTCTTATTTCTGCCCCGCAGGCAGCAGTGGCTGGTCTCCGTCCCCCAGGGACAGACAGCCATGGTTGCAAGTAGACTTGGGAAGGAAGTACCGACTGGTGGCCATCGCCACCCAGGGGACCTTCAACTCATACGACTGGGTTACCAAATACACACTTCTCTATGGAGATCGACCAGATTCCTGGACGCCGTACATCATGAAAGGAGGCAACTCTGTAGGTATCCCAGAGCCAGACTGGTTGGGGTGGGATGAAAGCCCATAGCAGTGATGAGCTGAGGATCAACTAGTCAGATTTCATCTTTGTGGCAGGTTTTGGTTTAACAGGATGTGACATCATGCTCATTGTTAGCAGAACAGTGAAGCGCGTTGTCTCAAAAGTGTGATAATTTAATCAGTCTGTCTCATCAGTTTGTTGATGAGGTCTTTAAACAACTGCAGTAACTCAACAGCTGACCGATAACCTCTCTGGGATGTTTGCAGACAATGCCAGGTAACTGGAATTATTACCAGGTGAAGAGAAATGTCTTCCATTATGCCTTCACCGCGAAACACATCCGTCTGCTGCCGCTGGCGTGGAACACAGAGAATGGCGGGAAGATCGGCGTGCGACTGGAGCTTTTTGGTTGTCCTTATGGTAAATATGACAAATGCTTCCAGGAACTGGGAAGCGATTCTCATGGTTTGATATGCGCTTGAAAACTGTCTGTCTCCTGTTGCAGATTCCTATGTGCTGCAATATAATGGAGATGACTCAGTGGTGTACACGTACCCAGAGAAAAGATCTCGTACACTGTATGACCACATGGCCATAAATTTCAAGACTCTGGAGCAGGATGGTCTGCTGTTGCACAGTGAAGGGATTCAGGGAGATCTCTTCACCCTGGAGCTGAAGAAAGGCCGTCTTTACCTTCACATCAGCCTCGGTAAAGCTGGATTGTTTATTTTGAGATGTGGATCGGAGCTTTTCTCAATTCTGAAATGAAGAATAGCTGTCTGCATGAGGATGATGATTTTGCTGGTTAGATTGCTGGCTGAAGTCTGATAAAAGACCTTGTAAGAGCTTTTATTTGCTTTATTGGTTTTCCAGGAAGCAGTGTCATACATAAAGTCGATGGTCGAACTACTCTGACTGCCGGGAGCCTCCTCGATAATCTACACTGGCACTATGTCACTATCAAGCGCTATGGTCGACAAGTGAACTTCACAGTGGACAGTCAGACTGTGACAGCTATTTGTAATGGAGAATTCACTCACCTGGATCTGGATGCAAAGGTAGTTGTCCAGCATTATTTCCCAGATATTGGTGAACGCTACGAACAAATTGTGCCAATTGACTGTGGTAACACCTGTCACTCAGATGTATGTGGGAGGAGTGATAGAGCAAAACTTGCCTCACCTCCCTACCACACCAAATTTCCGAGGCTGCCTGGAAAATGTCTTCATCAATGGCATCAACATCATCGACAAGGCCAAGAGAGAGGAGCCTGACATCCGCATTCCTCGGAAGGTAGGCAGAAATGTAGAATCAAACAGAAATATATTGTTTTTAGTTGATTACCATCAGATGCCTGACTATTTAACAGTTTTTGTGGCTGATAAGGTCTCATTTCTGTTTCTCTGCAGAAAAAGATGCATTTTGCCTGCCGCGACATTCTGCTCAAACCAATGACCTTTGCCGGACCCAACAACTACCTGCAAGTGCCAGGTTTTTTCAGGAGACCTCGCATGTTTGTCAAATTCAAATTTCGCTCCTGGGACTACACGGGCCTGCTGATGTTTACACGCTTCGCCGATGACCTGGGTGCCCTGGAGCTGGGTCTGAGTGAGGGTCAGATCAATGTGACAATATTCCAGCCGGGAAAAAAGAAACTCCAGTTCGCTGCAGGTGAGGCTTCAGCATTAGATGTCAGAATTGAATACTTGTGCTTCATCTTTCACCATTTAGGGAATGAATAGGCAAATCGTGCTCAGGGTGGCATAAGACTTGTGTGCTGCTTTGGTGCATGTGATTGTAATGCCACCTCCTCACTATAGGCTATGTCTGGATCTTTAGGATACAGGCTCAATGACGGTTACTGGCACACAGTGGATTTGGCAGCCAGAGACAACTTGCTGACTCTCACGCTTGATGAGGAGGAGGCCTCGCCACTAAAGATAACCAACCCCTTCACCATCCGAACGGGGGACCGCTACTTTTTTGGGGGTGAGGTGACAATCGAAATAACTGCTGACAGCTGTCGTAGATCGCATCTGTACTCTTTGAGTCTTACAGAGATGTGCCTTGTTCCTCTTAGGTTGCCCGAAAACTAATAACACAATAAGGAAGTGTGAGACCAAGCTGAACCGTTTCCATGGCTGCATGCAACACATCTTCATAGACAATGAACAGCTTGATATTGACATTATTCTGCAGAGGCAATGGGGGCGATATGCTGAACTGTTGCTGGGTACCTGTGGGATCACTGACAGGTAGGATATGCTCTGTGAATCATTGATGCAACGATGATGGAGAATAGTTGTAAATGTAAGCTTTCAAGCCTCTGAAATGACTTGGTAAAAATAACACATCTCCACCATTATAACTTTGAGTTTATGTTTTATTTACAGATGCTTGCCAAATCCCTGTGAACACGAAGGCAGATGCATTCAGTCCTGGGATGACTTCATCTGCCTGTGTGAAAATACAGGTTATAAAGGAGAAGTGTGCCACATGTGTACGTGCTGACCGATAATCTTAGAAAATGTTTCTTTGCACCTGGCCGGTGCAATTTTCCCTCCCTAATGATAACAAATGGGTCATCTCTCTCCACCAACAGCGGTTTATAAAGAGTCATGCGAGGCTTACAGGCTAAGTGGCAAGTATTGGTCTGGAAACTACACCATTGATCCTGATCTTAGTGGGCCGCTGAAGCCATTCGAAGTTTACTGTAAAATGAAGTGTAAGTCATCTCTGTTATTATTGTTATCATTCTTTTTTCTAAAATACAGCTTAATCGACATTGTGTTTAGTGTTTTCTGTGCTTTCATCTGTGGGAGGACAAAAGGTAATCTTGAAATGTGGAGTGAAGCTCCATGGGAAATTAAAACAGGATAGAGGCAGTGATTTCCACTTGTCTATGCTTGTCTTGGAAAATGAGAATTGCTTTTCTTCAACACTAAATAGCTTTTCAGGCATGCTTTCTGGTATTACTTTCTGCTGGTTTGGTGGTTTTGCTGGTTTACCAACATCACATCTGAACCAGGTGTGTGTAGGTTGAAATCTTTGCTGGGGCCCTTCTTGTGACCCCATGGACCAGTAAGCCATAGGGTGCACCCAATGGTGCTCCACCTTCAAGCCTTATTTAGATAAAGCTTTTGTAGAATATGCTTTTACTTCTTTATATCCTGTTTGAATGAGTTTTTATACTTTGTGTCTGTCATAACTCTTTTCAGCGTATAAAGCTTGGACAGTGATGATGCATGATCGAGCCGATGGAACTAAGGTGACTGGGAGCTCAATAGATCGGCCGTATATACTAAATGTTAACTACTGGAATGCCTCCTGGGATGAAGTTAGCGCTCTCGCCAACACCTCCATGTACTGTGAGCAGTGGATCGACTACTCCTGCTATAAGTCTCGTCTCCTGAACACTCCCGGTGAGTTTTATTCTATGGACCCAAAAAAAGGAAGACTTTTTTAAACACACGAAATAAAAATGTCTTCTTCTAAATAGATGGAAGACCTTTTGGTTACTGGATTGGCCGTAACAATGAGAGCCACTATTACTGGGGTGGGACGTTCAGAGAAGTTCAAAAATGTGGATGCGCCATCAACCAAACTTGCGTTGACCCCAAGTTTCTGTGCAACTGTGATGCTGACTATAGACAATGGTGAGAAAAAAAACATCTGGGAAAACAAACTTGTGTCTCTGACACATTTCTTAATGTTGTAACATCTGCTGTGTTGCTTTTCAGGTATTCGGACAAAGGCTATTTGGATTTCAGAGACCACCTGCCTGTGAGAAGGGTGGTGGTCGGGGACACCAACAGGACTGGCTCAGAAGCACAAATCACTGTTGGGCCACTTCGCTGCCATGGCGACAGTGAGTTTCATATTAAATGTTATAGATCGTGCTCCCCCCTGTGCTTTGTGGGCATTTATTATTCATGGAATGCATTTTCTTGTTTTCCATAGGAAACATCTGGAACACGATAGCTTTCACCAAGCCCACCTACATCACCTTTCCCACTTTCAGGCCGGGATCAACCGCGGACATCTCTTTCCACTTCAAAACTTATCGTGACCATGGTGTATTCTTGGAAAATTCTGACGAACAACTCAGAAACTTTATAAGAATAGAGCTGAACAGTGAGTGGTTGCCTGTGTTTTTTCCCCCCGCCTGTACTTGTAAGATTTTTCCAAAGAGCATTTAATAACTCTTTTTTTTCTATCTAATCTTTTTTCTTTCAGCCACCCACAATCTCGCGTTCGTATTTATGGTTGGAGACGGTATTCTTAATGTGACCCTGCGCTCCCCGGTTCCGCTCAATGACAATGAGTGGCATTTTGTACAAGCAGAGCTTAATGTGAAGCTGGCCCGGATAAAAGTTGACTATCAGCCATGGGCAGTCACGCGCTTTCCAGGTCAAACCTTTGTCACCATGAAGTTTACACATCCTCTGCTCGTAGGTAGGTTGCCTGTGAGAACATTAAAAGTCATAATTTTTTACTTCAAAATAATTCAGTAACCACTGACAAAAGTGTTCATTTATCACAGGTGCAGCCAATCGCACCCTGAGACCTTTTTTAGGATGCCTTCGAGGGCTGCGTATGAATGGTGTTCCTATAGATTTAGAGGGCAAAGTGAATGAAGAACAGGGTATAAGGAGGAACTGTACCGGACAGTGTCTCAATGCCACCATACCATGTCGAAACAGCGGCCAATGTATTGAGGGATATGCGTCCTACACTTGTGACTGTAATAACACAGCCTTTGATGGTTTCTACTGTCATAAAGGTGAGCTCACACTTGATATAAAACAATTCAAATACAACTTGACCTTAGTAATTGCTGCCAACTGTCACTTCAAATCACACTTCAAATTTGGCAATATTTCTTTTTAGATATTGGAGCCTTCTTTGAGATTGGATCGTGGCTGAGGTACAACATACGAAAGAAGCCCGTGTCAGATGAGGCAGCTTGGGCAAACTGGATCGACCCGCATTATGACAATTTCAGTCTTGGCTACAATGACACGTCAGACGACATAGAGTTCAGTTTCAGCACCGTCAACACGCCAGCCGTGTTACTGTACATCAGCTCCTTCGTTCAAGACTACATTGCTATCATCCTCAAAACTGATGGTAAGAGGAGTTGAGCAAAAAAGAAAGGTAAATAGACTGACCCAAGACCTGATGAAATTCTTATGTATTTTGTTTCCTGACCTTCATCAGGTAGTGTAGATCTGAGGTATAAACTGGGGCTCATAACACACAAGTACCAGCTGACTCACCGAAATCTGGCAGACGGATATCCACATTATGTGAACATAACCAGACACAACAGAACTATCAAAACACAGGTAATTGCTCTCAATTATACTTATACTGCATAGCACAAACTTAATTTTAAACTGCTTATACTGTTTTCATGGATATACCACAAACCATGTCATCATTTTTAACCATATGTTTCCATATCCAAAAGGTGGATTACATGGAGCCCATAGTAGAGAAGATAACCTTGGTGGAGGATGCCAGGTTTGATTCCCCAAAGTCCATGTTTCTGGGAAGAGTGATGGGTAAAATTCTTCCTTATGGCTTTCAGTTAGAGATTGAAAACTTTTGTCTTCAGGCCAGCCATTTGAACTATTTATCATTTCATAATTGCTTGTTTGTTCTCTCTCAGAGGTTGGCGATATTGATTATGAGATCCAGAGGCATAATGCTCCAGGCTTCATAGGCTGCATTTCTGGTGTGAGATACAACGTCTACGCACCATTAAAAGCCTTCTTCCGTCCAAATGAAACTGATCCTCCGGTAACGACGCAAGGTTATGTCTCTGAGTCCGTCTGTGGGGCCTTTCCTCCTGTCCTGGGTTATGTACCTTGGGAGGTAGACCCTTGGTTTACTAGTATAGGTGAGTTTTGCATGTTCAAAAATATATAAGTTGATGGAAGAAAAATGACATCATAATCACTGAAAACCTTTATTTCTTTTACAGAATATATCTATATCCATGATGACCTAGGTCTGTTTTGGATAACAGGTGAGCTATTGTTTGTGAAGATGTCTTAAAATGTTGTATCTCTGGAGTGTTACTGAATCTTTCCTTTTATGAAAAAGACCATTAATGCCACATTTGAAGGACCTCCTTTCTGCTTCATTTCTGTGAATATTGGCCTGTTCTATTTGACACAAAGCAGCCATTTAAAATTCTCTTAGTCTTCTCTCCTAAATCTTTTAATCCTATGAAAGAGCAGGGTTGTCAGAAGCCACATGAGCTTTTGAGTATCTAACTGAGTGGCTAAATTTATAACAGGACCAAAAACCAAGACCCATATAAATTGGAAGAAAACATTTTAAAACCATGCAAAATGTTTCTATTATTCATTTGCTGTCTGTATCAGAAAAGATGCATATCTTTACAACAATTTCACACCTATGTGATGTAGATGACACTGCACATTTGAAAAGTAAAAAGGTGGGTTTTGGCAGATGAACTGTGTCACAGTAATACAGATAATGGAAAAAAATAGAGCAGATCCCCAGATGAGCTGCTGAGGCTGGAATCTCAGGATTAAACTGCAGCACAGAGACTCCCTGCTCCATCCCTGTCTGAGACCTTTACTGGATGAGCTATATTTAGTCTGCATGGGCTTATTTTTCATCATGAATAGATGCTTTAGTTTAATAGATCATTTAGCCTGTGAGATATTATGGTAATGCAGACATGAGCATGTCATTAAAGATTAGCTCACCATTCTGGCATCAGAGCAATGGTTCTCTCTGTATATCTGGCATCTTCCTTGTCTAATATAATAGTAACGATAATATGGGTATAATGGACAAATTACACACCCTGATTTAAATATTGGTGATAAGATAACATGTGCAGCACTAACAGAGACTGAATACATATGTTTATCACTGTTAAATGAAGAGAGAAATAATACCAAAAATGTTCCCACTGACAATTCTTTGTCTACTCATCCCCTAAACAGCCAGAGTACAAATCTCTGAGTTGATTTGATTTGCCTGTTGTCTGTTGTTTCTCTTCATTTAGTTCAGTAATGTGTAAAGTCATTTTCTTAGAATTAAGTCTTTGCTGAGTCTACTGATAGGCTGTTGATTCAATGTCACTGGTGAATCTAGAATGATTATCCAGCAGAGGAAATATAATCTTATATTCCCTTTGGGTATAAGAGACCTTGCTCTGCAGCATAAATCAGATAATGATCTCAATTTTGAAATATACCAGACGTCTCTGGTCACAAGGCACCAGTATCCCTCTGAGTCTTCTCTATACCTGGATTGATTATGTTTGATCCTTAGAAACCACCATCTTATATTTAGCTCACTGCATTGAAACTGAAGATTGTCTTTCAGTGCTGATTATAACAATTATACAATGTTGAGTACAGTAACTATTTAATTTGTGATAACTATTATGATAACTATTTAATATTTTTGTGTGTTACTCATAAATAACTACTTAGATTACTTTTTATGCATACATTATTACAGATTTTTTTCATTCTTGATTGTGGAGCTTGTGTATTTGAGTATTTTTTCAAATTCTATTAGATAAATCTACACTGACACGTGTCTAATATGAGTAAGCAACACAACTTCAAACAGTGCACGGTCTGCTACAGTCTTTAAGGAGGTATGGTTGAACACTTCCATGCTTGTCCTGACTGCACTTTGTTCTCCTCAGTAATTGCCATCCTGGCTTTGATGCTGCTCTTCGGAGGCCTGTACAGCATCTACGTCTATGCTTACCAGCAGAAGGGCAGTTATCACACCAATGAACCTAAAAACCTGGAGTCCCCCAGCAGCTCCAGGCCACTAACCGAGACCCTGAGGAGAGAAAAAAAGCACCTCCCAGAAATTGAAGAGGAGTTCAGGAATGGCTAGTGACCCATTGGACAGCGGGTGGGGTTTGATGGGGGGCGGGGGGTTGAGGAGAGGGAATGCACTTACAAAAACCACAAATACCTGTAGTAAGTTTTTCTAATTATTTCATTTCCCTTATTCTATGTTTTGGGTTGTGTTCTTTTCCCCGGTCGAGTGGGATACGATGCCTGGTGCTCAACTTTACAAAGTATGTATTTTGGTAAGTTCTAGTTTTGCCGGATTCAAATCAAGTTCCATGTTGCATGAGTAGCCAACAAGTCTCACACTGTATTGCAGGGTGAAATACTGAAGTGCCTCATCTGAGCAAGCTTGATCTGAAAGGGTATGGCTTATTCAGTGAAAGTTTAGATAGACACTGTGGAAAAAAGGAAAAAGATTTCAAGTGGAGTTCAATTGGGAAATCACTTCAGTATTCAGGCTTTTATTAATTAATTTCTTTTCTGAGCCATTTTTGAACCGGTTGAAAATAATGACAGCTGTCTGTATAGATTCATTGCCATCTTGAATTTACCTTTTGATGACAATCTCTCATGGAGCCGTTTTTGAAACCATAGCTAGTAATCTCTCTTGGAATTGAATAGTGAACACATCAAAGTGCTGTTGAACTAAACCAGCTGCAACAAAAATACAAAGCAAGGATAAAACTGGTGTCTGCAGCCAAAGAGTGAAATATGCTGACAAGCATGGAGCTTTACGCTTTGAGATGATACATGTTAAGATTGTAAAAGGTATATATGCTTAATTTGTTGTATTGCGACCTATAACAGCGCATCACCTATACAGAATGGCACGTATAAATGGCTCAGAAAAGCCAGTGTCAGTAGATAGTAGCTTTGCAGAGTAATATGCTCAGATTTACAACACAATCTCAGACCACTGAGTTTAGAAAATGAGACTGAGTTGGTTTGATGAAACAGGACCTCTGGGTATGGGAGCTAGCAGGTTTGTCAGTGTAATACAGGATCAAAACAAAAATCAAAAGCGACACAGTGACCTAAATATATTATAGTTCTCGTTGTTTCTGTCGATCAAGCGGCCATCAGCTTGGTGCTACATAGTGTCTGACTCAACATAACATATCCAGACAATAAAAGAATGAATTATGTAATCTTTAATAAAAATAAAAAAACTTCAGGGAACAGCTGCATCCTATGTGTACCTAGGAAGCATACATATGAACACACATACATGCACACATTGACATATGTACAGTGGACCACAAGAGTGTAAATGCTAACCTTTTATTTCTGACACTGCTAGGATATTTTTGCAATTAATATAGAACAGTAACGGACCACAATATCAGTGTTGTCGCTGCTTTTTTTTAGCTGCTTTCACTTAAAAACGTCTGCCTATAGCCCAATGAACTTTCTTTTGATGACAGAAAGAAATGTTATTGGATGTGCGGTGCCACCAAAGCTTAGGGCAATCGTCAGTCTCTGCAGCTCCACCTGACACTAAAGCACTGCTGTGTATGTGGGCAAAAGTTAAAAATAGGAAAACATTTGCAATATTTTAGCTATGCATACATAGAGCATGAGCGCACTTTGCAGTAACGTGCAACAATATGAGCTTCTTTCAGCCTCAAATAATGTTAATGTATGCGATTCATTTGCAAATCTATGGTAGCAAGTAGGATGTAATGAGTGTATACGTGAATATATGAGTAATGTGTTGAACAACTTTTTTGTTTCTAGGGTTTATACAAAACAAGCTTAATGGAGTGCTTTGAATGTAAATCATTTGACTCTGTAATGTATGAGCAGACACTACAGTGAAACATAGAAATGTGTCTTTCATGTAGACTGCTAAGCATTGAAAGTATTATTATTGATAGCTTTTTAGACTGCTCAGGATAACTACAACACAGTACTTCCAGAACGATCTAGGCATTCTTCCATGACAGACGGGCAGGACTGTGTGAAATTGTACAGTGAAAGGTTGTACAGTACATGTAAAAACTACAGTTACTGTAAAGGCACAACTTGCCAACATTGTATGAAACTGTACAGATTTGGCATTTACAGACTATATTTTTAAGAATGCGCTGTAAAAAGATGGATGAAAGAGAAAATTGAGAAAACAGAGTGAAACTGAGGGTTCGTGATTGATGCAAAGAACGATTTGTGTTCTTAGGTGTACAAAAATTTGGTCCGATAGCTTTGTTGTCCTCTAGAAAAAGTCAGCTTATATATTTACTATATAAATGTGTACACTTCACTGTATTCGTTGGTAAATGGATTATAAACATTGCGTATAGCAGTGTCACATTATTCCACCTCTTAAGAAAATTAATTTGTGGTCCCTGGAGTGTGTTTGTGTGAGTGACTGGATGTTGTGACATTTGTATCTTCATGGTTTGCAGTCTAAAGGTGTTAAATGATGACAAATTCTCACTGACGCCAACTTTTCGTGCACTTGCTGTAGTGCACCAACACAAAAACAAGGAGACAAAAACAGGGTTTGGTGTGCTGGGATGGAATGCGTGTTCAGACCGACTGGCCGGCAGAGGGGGGTAGCTAGCAGGACGTGGTGGGCTCAGACAGAGTATCTACTGACTCTGCTAAACATGTGACCACTGGAGCACAGTTAAAAACCTCCTGGAGTTAAATCTTGGAGGAGAATTCCTAAAGTCCTGTAATCTGTTTCTGTATTCTAAGGACACTATTAAATCTACAAATGTATAAGTACATCTGCAAATGGCCTGTAATCAGCGATAAGGAACAGAATCTGAATGAGAAAACACTAGAGGGAGCAGGAGGCATGTTCGATCAGCTGACTTCTCTGCACCACCAAACAAATCCTTACCGGAACAAGTAGAAAAATAACACAGCTATGTCTTTGATCACATATCTTTGATTTCTTTCTATTCTTGCTCAAGTCTGTTTTGTAAAAATGTCACTGTAAATGACCATGACTGTGTAAACAAAGGCAAAGTCAAATTGTCATCTCAATAAAAAAAAGCTTGAAGAAAATTGCTGATGTCATTTTAAGATGGATGCGTCCAGTTTTCTGATCAGTCACATTTAACATGCGTAAGGAGAGGACAATATTTATAATGTATAAAGTTAAACCTTTATTTTTAGAGGCATACACTGTACACAACATTAAACTTGATTTTGTTCAGCTCTACAGAGAAATATCTCATTTGTAAGTGGGCTTTAAATGTTTTATAAATGAACAACAGAGTAAATAATAAATGTAGCCATAAAAAAAATTAAGAAAACATGATAAATGATATTTTACATTCACATGTAGGGGAGTTAAATATTTGGTAAAACACTGACAATTTTGCTTTTCATGTTGTCATATCCTTTAATTAAGCTCTTTTGGTTATGCAACATGCAAATTATTTTAGCTCTTTTCTGTGAGGAATAAATTCTTTTTTTTTTCATTTCAATGGAAGACATTTACTTGGTGACCATTTCATTTATTACTTAACTGTCCAACAAGGTGCAACCATGTAAACACGATGGTAAATATTTCATGTATGTACACTGCTTTGAGTACCAATAGTAGAATAATACGTAAAATGTAAAGAGGGGTGATATCTCTTCACCTTCATCGTCTACAAGTTACATTCAGTCAGTCGGTCTCTCGTCCGGTTGCCTGTCTTACAGAACAATGATATAAAAGCACACTAGCCGGTTATGCCAACTGCTGAAATGGATCACAGAAAAACATACCGAGCTCTCAAGTCTGAGCCAATTCCATGAAGCCATCTGTGGAGCGCAACGCCATCGTCTTCAACACTGACGGACTGAACAGGAAGAGCATCAGCCTGACGCTAATGCAGTGTTTAATATGTTTAATGGATGTCGGAAAACAGCACATGCATTTCACTGGTCATTATCGGGGTTACTGTAAAGCAAATTTAATGTAAAGTCTGGATAATGTACTGAGACATCCAACAAAAGCCTGTCTATAAGTACAGAAACAAAACTACTAAGAGTATCACGCTGTACATTAGGTAGGGTGGTTTCTTTCTGTTGACAAGATGGAATAAAAAAAAAACCACGTGCTCCTTTTTAGTGTAGTAAGCGATGTGGGTTATTAGCACTTGCACTTTAGATAGTTTATTTTAACAAGCTTGACATTTACAGTTCGCGGGTTTGGGCAGAGGATGGCGAGTGCTAACCACTGTCACTGAGGCTGTAGGTGGGCCGATTGCAGAGCAGGGGCGCCGGCAAACAGCGGGGACAGGAATTCTATCTTAGGAAGAGCAGCAGAGGCGCAGAGACAGTGACTGCTGAGGGAAAACTCGTCAGCTTGATGTGATGCTACACAGGAACAAAAGCACTGGTGGGAGGCTGAGGAGTAATGGACAGGTCGCGGAGGTAGACTGTTGATGAAGCTAAGCTAAGTCTACCTCCCTCTCTATTCCCACGTATTTGAGGGCATCAGCTTGGCTGTATCTGTGGGAGGAAACATAAGGTACAGATGTCAGCGTACACCATCTGTAGAAACCCTTGCTTCACTCACACTGTGAAAAGACCTTGTGTCTTTTCGTTTCTTTTTTATTTTTAATTCTAAGCGAATGTCGACTCATCAAAAGGGGAATCTACCTGTAGTCAAAGAAGAGCTCCTCTCCCTGCAGGATAGCTCTTTTGGCAAAGATTCCAATACGGTGATCTCCATTCACCATCACCACTACAGTCAGAGTAAACACAGTATCAGACATCTGACGTCTAGTGAATTTTTCGCTCAATTCTTAATACGAACGCAGCTGACCTTTAGCATAGCAGTTCGGATTCACTGAATGATTCGCAAAGCGGATTTTGTTGCCCTTGCGCGTGGCATCCACTACAAAGTCTAGTGAGAGACACAACGCACATTAGGGAATTCTGCAACGCACTGCGTTACGTGGCTCGCAACACTACGGCGAGAGTAGGGAAAACTCACCGTTGTTTAAGTTGAAAAGGAAGCTAGACATGTATTTGTCATAGATCCTTCCACGCCGATCAGCCTCGTCCTGAGAGATCAGCTGCTCACGGAGAGAAAAAAAAAAAGGTACTGTGAATATGATGCTTTAATCCTTCTGAAAGCTTGTGATAAATTTTAAACCGACTCCAAATAAGTGCCTGGACTTGCCTCTCCACAGTACTCGGAGATGAACTCATTCTTCTGAACGGGCTCTTTGATGAACGTCCCCCACCCGGCAACATCTGATGGAGCCAGCAGCAGGTGCTAAAATCGGTCCCACACAGAAGATCACCGTTGACGTTCACCAGTCAGAATGGCAAAAACATCAGATTGAACGTCTTTACGCCCTCACAGTACCTTTTTCAGGCCTCTCTGGATGCTACAGTTCTTGCAGGATACAACTTTGCTGTCCCAGTGGTCCGCGGCGCCGCACGTCATGCAGAGATCCGGGTCACACTCCCTCACGGCCAGGTAGCAGGGACACTGTTTGGTGTTGCACTGAGTCTTACACCTGCAGCCGGGGAAGCGGTTCTGGCCTGGAAAACAATGTACACACGGGGATATACTGTAGCTGACACGGAAAGATAATACGTCCTGCTACCGAGCAGGGCAGAATGTAATGTAATGCTTCCGTTTCATAATGTGAAAAAAGAGGCTGAGAGGGTGAGTTATACTGAGGGGTTCATTAGTCAGAGACCTCTGCTGGCAGATATTATGAAATACAACTTTGGAGAGAGTAACAAAACACCCAGTGGGCTGATCAACTGAAAACTTGGGCGGCAATAACAATAACCAAATATGCCTTTTCCAGCAGCTTCTGGTCCAAGAAGGCTTCAAGAGACAGACACAACGACCACCCTCAAACCCCCCCTTTCCCGATTTCCTAATGTTTCACTTCCAAGCCTCTATGGATTTTGTGTGTTCCATCCAGCTTTGGTAAGCGTTAGCTGTTTGACTCATGCGGATGACGCTCTACACCAGGCACAAGGCCCTTCACATCCCTTTGATTCCTCTCCAAGTCTTTAGAGCACGCACATGTGGAACTGGGGGCTGCTTCCTGTTTGGCTCTACTGCTCTTCTGCTACGGGAAAAGGCAGGGCGATGAGGAGGAGGGGAGAAGATGACTGAATCACAACAAGTAGACGAATGCAATAAAACCGTTCTTTCTAAACCACAGCCGAATTGCTGCATGTTATCTTCGCTCTGTACGGTGAACTGTTCGGAGGGCAAATGCACAAAGCTTCGGTTCCCCATGTGGCCATTTCAGAAAGCTCAGTTATGAGTCACTCCTGCAGAAGCAAATGCCTCGTTGTGAACATAGCTCTGTGTTAAATGGACACCCACGTATCATCGCCAGAGGACAGTTTCTCCTCTGACCACTGCCAGAGCGCTGCTAAATTATTTTACACTCTGCAACTTGGCTCTGTTGTGATCTCCCAAAAAGAAAAAGAAAAAAAGCTTTTAAGACTGGAAAATGTGACCCGGACCTGGAACACGCAGAAGATTTAGAGCACGCATATTGCAATTGTGCCCATTAAAAAAAGAAAAATACATGTTTGGAAAAATTGAGAGACACTTGAAAAATCAAAGGAAAAACTCACACTCGAGCTCACACTGACAGAACTTCTCACAGAAGTTCTGGGTCATTACGCAGGGACAGGAGCTGTCGCATGGGTGGTCGGGATGGTCGCAGGGTTGGTAGTTGTACACCTGATTGGAGGAGTTATCTGGAGCAGCAGAGAAGAAAGCATTCAGCCCGCCACACTAAACTGCGATGTGTATCAGAGAGAGAAGGTTAGCTATGTTTTTTTCACCTTTCTTAAGCTGAATCTTTGCCCATAACCTGCAACAGCAAACATACAATTAGCTGGCTTGTTCAATATTGTTGGAAAACTTTCAGTACCACCACTGTGTTAGACTTTTAATGGAAATCAGTAGTAAGCCAGTAAACAAAAGAAACCAACAGAAGAATTTAAAGCCGTCTCTTGCCTGTGCTTCCTTTTTTTCTTTTGGGGTGAGATGTCTCCATCCTCCAGAGGAACCCGATGGATAAGGACCTCTTTAGCTGCAAACTCATACACCTGCGACAAATGGCAATAACAGCATTCTGGAGATCCATTACTAATATACATAATTATATAGATGTGTGCTGTTGTTTTTCTTTTTCTTTTTTTTTTTCAGCCAAGTTGTGCAATACTGTGCAAGCTAGAAAGAATATGTGCTTATGCCACAGAACATCCTGCTCCCGGAGCATCTTCTGCTTTCAAAACCGCAGGGAAAAGGCCAGACACACAAGTGTGTCGTTGCACACACACACATGCGCGCACTCACTCCACTACTGGCAGCTAAAACTCAGATTTGGCATCTTCCCTGGGACACAGACATGCATAATGTTGCAGTGGGCTTCAACAATCGAAGCTGAGGGCGGGGCCTCTAGCAGAGCCGAGCCAGTCTTTTGCAGACTTTGGACTTTCCTGGCGGAGGGGGAACTGCGGCCGGCTGTGCAACTTAAGCTGCATCAACATGTATCTCATGGGTCAAAGCTTTTAACCTACACTTCTTCTTAAGTAAAACACCAAAACAAAAACCTTCGACATCTCAGTCACCACTGCAATATGGTGTCTTCCCGCTTTCCGTTGCAAAACAGTGAGGCTGAAATGTCATTACAGATGTCTGGACACTAGTATCATCCCAAAATATGAGAAATGTCACATCTGGTAAGCATTCCTGTTTATGGTGCCACATGCCATTCTCTCTCCAGTCGACCCAATTATCCACACCATAAAAACCACAGACTCAGGATGCATTTGTTATTACGCCCACGCTGTTACAACACGAATCAGCAACTTAAATATATGTGCTAGCTTGTTTCACTACAAATCTGCAGCATATCAGAGCGTTAGCCAGGGTTAACAGAGGGAGACCATACAGGCAGATGTTACCGTGCATCACCCATTACGCAGGGGATAAAACTGTCACCGGTACTTCTCTGGGACCGTTTGATTAGCTCTTTCTTGAGTTTTGTGCCTGTATATCCATCTGGGTGTGTCATTGCATTAGCACAGTAAATGTGCTTTGAACAGTTTGAGAAATTTGAACATGTACCAACGTCATGAAGACTTTAAGGTGAGGTTTGAAAATGGTGTGACCGTACCAAACTCTGCCCCCTCCCCCCAAAAAGCATGAACTAAGACATAATAATGGTGCAGTCATGTGTGGCAGCTCTGAAAAGCATAATCAAGAACACAATCCATAATTTTGACGGTAAACTGATATTTAGGGCCTAAAAATCCTCATTTACGTGTGTAAAAACATCACCTGCTTGCAGGTCTTTGTGCCGATGAGGCGAGCGATGGAGCAGAAGTTGTTGAAGTAAGTGCCGTGTAGCACCCTGAACAGGGACTCCTCTGCCCCACTCCACTGAACCACACAGCAGGCCTCCTGCTCCCCCTCGTCCTCCCCTGGACGCAGCTTTGTCGGAGTCTGACAGCGTGAATTTCCCTCTATTTCACAAGCAAAAACACAGAAACGCGCAAACCCGTCAAGGCGGCAGATTTTTTCGCCGTCGGCAACATAAAATTCTGCACGGTGGTATTGTGATCTAACGTAACAGATATTCACAACCGACACATCCACACTTCTGGACAGTATGAATGTTGCCTGGCAACAGGGAGAGTGCACCATTGCCGAGGCCCCGTGAAGAGTTCCAGCTCTTTATGCTCATTACTAATCTGCTCGGCAATCTGCTTTTTCCACATTATTTTAACACATGCGAGAGAGACTGCTGAGTCACGGGCTGCAGAACAGCAGTTTCTTAAACTAACAGAGACGTTCCGCGAGGCGCTGATGCAACCTGAGAGATTCAGAGTGAAAAAGAGGGCGATAAAGAGCTGGAAGAGATTACTCCAATTTCTCTGCAGCTGCTCTCCATGAAAAAAAATAAGATGTCAATGGAAATTTAAACTGGAGAAAGAAGCAGGAAGAGGAGCTGAACAAAGTGTTTATGCAGAGGCTGAACCATGCAGGAATAAAGGTTGGTTTATTTTGCTTGGCAAGGAAAGGCTGATATTGGGAAAAGATGTATGCGGGGAGACTGAGGAGAAGGCGGGACATAACTTCAAAGCTGTGGTTGTCCGGCCAAGTTTCCCTTTTCAGAAGAGGTGCAGTTAGCCGGGCCAGACAGCCCTCTGCACAACCGGGGAATTTGGGGGGGAAGTTATGGTAAATGATGCATCTGTTCACTGACTCAGTGCAAGCGAGGCACGAAAACAAATAGTTTCTTCTCTGTGTGAACTTAACTGTGAAACTTAACCAGAAACAAGCACTTTGTCACTTATTCCAGAGTAGGCATGACGACGAGGGGGAAAACCCCCTTGGATCAGTGTGCTACCTGAAGAGGAGGTGGTTTCGTGGTCACTGTCCCCCTCTTTCCCCTCGTCCGCAGACCTGGACGGTCCGGGACAGCTGGAGCTGGTGGGGCGCTGCTGCTGCCTCCGCCGCCTCCGGGATCTGCTCGACCGCAACATGTTCTGATCCACAAACTCTTTAGCCCCTTTCTTCACAGCGCAGGGAAACACAGACAAGCACAATGAGCAGCAGCCTCAGAGAGCAGAACCCGCACGTCTGTGGTGTGACCGGAACACACCTGTAACAGGAAGCAGTCCACACCGCACGGCTCGGTCTCCATGCGGATCTCCTTACTCTTCCTCTTGTAAACGTTGGGCGTGGCTCGGAAAGCTGAAAGCAGAAGGGACAAACACATCTTGACTGCCTTGTTTGCGGGGAGTTAGCGGCCATGCGCAATTAAAAAAAACCCTGCGAGCTAATACTGCCAGGACAATGCTTCTATCTGGGGTTTTTTTACGGACAACAACAAAAAGTGTCATTACGGTGGAGGAAACAGTCGTATTTGAAGCAGCGCCTGCAGAAGAGCGTGTGGAAGGAGTGCAGCGACTGCTCCCGCTGCACAGACTTGGCAAAGGGTCCGTCCAGGTTGGGCGTGCACAGGGGGGGCAGCTTCACTGCATTGGTGGGCTCCAAGAGGTCCTTGTACCTGTGAAAGATGTGGGGGGGGGGGGGAAGAAGAAATGCAGCCCCTCTGTTAGTGTCACTTCTTAAGTTTCGGAGCTCTTTCACATGCTGATGAAACCACCCCTTTGAGTCAGGGAGCCTGAGAGGGAGCCACCATTATTGCTCTACCCGCTGACGGCTTAAGTCGCCATGGTGAACACTAAGCAACAGACTAATCAGCATTGTGTGCACAGATCCCTGAATTCAAAACACTTCTCTTACTTTTCCTTCAGCTCCTCTGTGGTGCCCTTGTAGGGGAACATTGAGGCGATGGCTGTAAATATTTTATCGCTGGGAATCTTCTTGGTGCTGGACAAATCCCTCACTTTTGGAGACACAGAACACAGAAGATTCTTTATACAGATTGCTCAGACTCACGCATTAGGTCTCAATATAGATTTGCTGATAAAAGTTATGCAATATGCTCTTTTCAGCATGCTGCGATTGTATGTTTTTCCCCCAAGCTCAGAGAAATGACATGTTATGAAGACAGTTCTTTCAATAAAAACAGTGTTTTTCCTTAGTAGTATTCATTTAAACATCCTTCTTCCAAGGCTTAGGATCACTGACGTCAATTAAGTGTTACTAAAGTGTGTTAGAAAGCCTGGTATGCCATGAAGCCCATTCAAATCTGTAATTAGAGGCATAACAGAGTCTTAGACAAACAGGTTCTCTCACACGCAGCAACTGCGTGGTAACACAAGGGAAGCTTCAAAGGAGCTCTGTCAGGTCAAGAGCCGGCGCTGCGGGGTGACTTTGTGTCAGCGCGGAAGCCCAGAGAAAGGAACAGTGATGGCCTTGTTCGCTCCGAGGCGGAAAACTCACCCTCTGTTCTCCTTTTCCTGCGGATGAACGCCCCGGCTTTGGTCTCCTCTGAGCCCTCCGCCGAACTCCTCCTTATCATTCTCTCGTCATCTTTCTTGGCTGGAACCTCCACCACCGTGGTGGCGGCCTCCTCCTCGTCTTCCTCCTCGTGGTCGGAGTACTGGCTCAAAGCGTCCACCAGCTCTTTAAAGATCTCATCACTGATGAATCCCCCTTCTGGGAGACGAGCGCTATGTCAGACACTGATAAACTAGCACTGCTTATTTCTTGCGGACAGTGGTAAATGAGAAATAGTCTTATCACAAACCTCTGTCACCGTGGACGCCATCGTAGTTGTCAATGAGCTCCTCCAAAAAGGCCTCGTCCTGTTCCAGGACCTCGTCGCCCATATAGGGGATGTTGTGGAGGAACGTCTCATCTTCCACCTGAAACACAAAAACTGCTGTAAGGACATGCCTGCGGATGAGTGCCACATCTGGATGTAGACAACCATGCACAAAGCAATGAGCTTCAGAAAACGCATGAAAAATGTCCGCGGACAGTAGCAGAAACTCATAAAGAAGCACACAGAAGTAATACATGTTAGGTTATCTAAAATAGAATTCATTTTGTACCATGAAGTTGTGCTGCAGAGGTGACCAGGAGTACATGAAGGGGATTCCTGCCACTGTCGACAGGGGTTTCATAGCAATGCTTTGAGCTTTGAATCCCGGGAAACCAAACTCCACCGAACACATCTGAAAGAGAAGCAGACTTAAGCTCTGGCTGACCGGACCCAAAGACTGTCCCCCCGGCACACCTGGGCAGGTTTCCAGCGATATAATCTAATACAGATGGTGTCTGACCCCGAACAGAACTAAAACAAGCAGAATCCAGTGGGGCCAAACAGCAGGTGGGAAGAAAAACGCTGTCTTCTTACCCTGAGACTGTTTGTATTGTGACCCCCTACAGTACTTTAATTCCCTGTTAGTCTGAAATATGATCCATTTCTGATACCCACAGCCCTGAAACAGTTCAACATCATCATCATCAAAAACTCTATCGATGGTAGAAAGTTAAAGGACAAAAATATATGCTATAATATATGTTGATAGGATTGAATTAAACAGAGAACCTAAGAAGGTGAACAGTGATACCATCTTGTATCTTGTCACTCCTGTTTCAACAGCACACGCACCTTCTTGCTCGCCACAGCAGTGCTGGAAGTGGACAGAGGGATGGACTGAACCCTGAGGTTGGACCACTCCGTGTTCAGAAGGTTAGTCTGTTGCTCAATTTTCTGCCTGTTAGACATGAACAGGGTCTAGAAACAAGAAAAAAACAAAAAACAAAACAGAGATTAAGTGACTCAAGATGCCAAAAGCGTCATTTGACCAAAGCAAAACTCGGGGGGCCGGTTGCACTCACCTTGACCTCGTCTGCTTTTTTAAGGCGCTTTAACTGGCGAAGGCGCATATACTCCGACCTGACCCTTCTTCTCCACTCCAGCAGGCTGCGGGAGGGGGCGAAGGAAGAGGGCTGAGGTCTTGGAGTTGACGGTGCAACACCGGTGTCAGGGGTGGAAACTGCAGCAGCTGTGTCCTCCATGACTCTGTGAAAAAGAAAAACAATGGACATTAATGCATTAATTGGAATAGAAGCTTATCGTGAAGGTTTGGGATCTCTGACATCTCACATTTGTAAGACATTCATGTGGCCTTTGAGATTTAAATTTGTGTTATACCATTATTAATTAATAATATAATACATTTTACCTTTTCACATGAGGTATTTTTTTTCACAACAAGCCTATCTGAAAGAGGGCCCCCTACTGTTTGACATAGAAATTACATTTTCTTTTAAAGCCTCATTCCAGTGTGCCTGAATGCGCCTAAGACTGTCCCCTGTCATCAATTCTGGAGTGGGTGGGTGGGTGGGGGATTATCTGATTTTGCGGTGGTCAAAAAGACATTTATCGTGCGTGCTTCCAAGAGAAATCACGCCAGTGGGTTCAGCAGCACGGGGCATCCACACTGCTCAGGGGTGGGCGTGCCTCGGAAGAGCAGAAAAGTGCGTAGTACAGTTTTTCTGGGTTTCATAATCGCCTCACTGAACGTGAACTTTACCGTCTGCGCCCAAACGCCACCAAAAAAAAAAAAAAGCACAAAGGCTAAACCGGGAGCCGCGGCGGTGCGATTTCGAGGTCAACGCGCAACGACGGGCACGCGTTTTAAAAACAAACACGAGCCCCTCAAGTGCGCCTCGGTCCCTCCGGGCGCAGCTCCGCTGGACCCATTTAAATGTAGAACACTTTAAAGGCGTGGAGCACCCAGCCTACCACAATGACAGCACGTTTTTTCCTACCGCACACGCGCTCGCGCGCGCACGCACGCACGCTGCCCACATCCAGTGTCGCAGTTATTAAATACCTTCGAATCCGCGTCTGGCGTCCAATTTCGTTGCGACAACAGCCCCGCAACGCCTTTTAAGTCTCCCCACCCCGTGCGTCCGGGTTACTACGGAGGTCCGGAGAAAAAAAAATTCAAGGCTCCCTTTGCTGTGGATCTGACGCAGATATGGTCTCAGCACGTTGGAGGGATCTCGGAGAAATCCCTGCGTTATCCATGGACATGGTGCCGCGGGGTTGTTGTTGTTGTAGCTCGCAAATAGCTGCGCACTTCGCCTGCTTGAACCAACCCCGAGCAGAGCAGGGTGACGTCTTTATTATGATCGCAGCCTTTTCCAGAGCAGAGCGGCTAAGATTTATGACTATTCTGCGTCCTGGGAATAAAAAAAAGCAGCGTGGAGCAGCCACTGCACAGCCATTACCAACACGCACAGGAACTGATGTAACTGTACGCACTCTACCCATCCACACGCGTGAGCCACACACTAATTGGTTTGTAAAATGATTGCAAGGGACGGGGGGAAAAGGTTACCAAACGCTGAAGATATAAGAAAAAATAGAGTGAAAAAAGGAAACCTGAGCCAAACTTAGACACTCCGTGATGTGTAAAATGTGAACACATGACGTGCCACATATGGGAATAAGAATTTAAAGGGAAAAGGTAAACACGCATGTAAATTATACTATGTATTTTTTTTTACAATGCCGGTTTATTACATAAAGGTGACATTATTTAAAGAATGGAAAACGACCAGGGAGATGTTGGATGAAACAGTCTACGTTTTCCTGACATTCCGTTGGACCTCTGCTAGACGGAAACGGCTTTAGCTGCTGTTCAGCGTTTCTCCTGCAGGGGCAGCTCTCCACGTCCACACCGTTAAGTCTCCAAAGAGAAAACCTGAGATCTAAATGAACACCTTGAAATCCAAGTGATAACATGTGATAACAAATGATAATACAATTATACTTCTCACAAAAGTACCATAACACACCACAATGAAGCAATATATCACAATGTTCCTATTATATTCTCCTATTAAGTAGTAAAAGTTACTCATGTATTCATGTTTTTACTTTTTTTAACAAGCTAAGTATGTTTGTGCATCTGTTTTATTTATCTATTTTAATTGAGAGGCCTACGGTTGAATTTTCTGGGCCTACTAAGATATTAGATATAACATAAGCTTAAATCTCAGCATACTAGAGGGTCTTGTGTGTTTGATAGTGTCACATAGGCTTTCCAGGAAGGGGTTTCTGGGCACATCTGGTTAACAAACACCACGCAAATCTTCCCAGTTGAGCACATGTTCCACATTAGCCTTAACTGACTTGCTTACCTTACCTTTCCTTGTTTGATCTATGTGCTATTCATGCTAACTCACCACATTTCTGGGGAAAAGTCATGAAAATGTTGAGAGAATCCTGGAATAAATCCTGAAAATCTACATCGACTGTCTTTGTGAGTGTCACCTTTTTAAAATTGGGCAATGGGGGGAAATGGCGATCGACTGACAACTGTCATTTGAAAATTTCAGTTTCTTGAAAATGAGAAGTGTTTACACATGTAGGTTATGTGGCAAATACACATAAAAAATAAACATAATTTATGGCCTATGTGGAAATAAATTATTTTTTAAAGATAATTCTTGGAATGAACAAGGATGACTTCAGTGGTTGGCGTAAAAAGAAAACACATGGCAACAAACTATTGACATGACTTCGAATTTATATATTTTGTGCAATTTATTAAGAAAATTAACAACGCATCAAGTAATTATAATTCAGGACATTATATCCTCCATAGCTGTTTTGATAAGGGCAAATATCTGACCCTCAGTGACTTAGAGGTTTTGTGTGTCAGTATTACAGACTTTGGAGGTGCATAAACTTTTGGTAGGCTTTATATAGTCTGTGGCAACATATGGTGTCCATAAACCAATTTTATTTTATGTTAACGCACTGGAAAGAAATGCTGACTGGGAGGATATTTAGTATAAAAGACTGAAGCAGTCTGTTTAATTTACATACCGTAAATTTCAGGTAGCAAGGCCACACAGGTGCATGCTTTTGGTTCAAGGGAGCTGTTCAATTTTCTGCACACTTAAAAATGAGCACACACAGTTCTCTGAAAAAAAGAATGTGGGAATGCAAGACTATGACCTGCTGGGTTAGTGTGTTGCTGGCTGCCATGATTATTCTCTGACACACAAGATGGCACTGTTCTGCTACTTTTCCAAAAGAGACAACACAACATAAGCCTGTGCTTACACACACTACATTTGTATAAAAAGACCTGAAATCTTGGTGCTTCAACATGACTGACTCAATGTGTTCCCTCGGATCACTTTGTGCTGTTTATATCTTGCATTTTTATGTCAAATCGTATATTCAGGGAGCAACATTAGTAATCTCAGACGATAAGGAATGTTTGTGATTGTATCACAAGTGTCATGTTCATACAAAAAGAAGAAACACACACAGGGTGATTTGTTTTGAGGAGTGAGGGTGTTATCAGAAGGTATTTTTTAATTCAGTATCTGGTAACTCTACATGTTCTCCTCTGGAATTGACGTTTTTGTTACAGGATGTGTAATGTGACAAGGGCTCAGAGATGAAAAGATTTACAATGGATGATGAGATGAGAATATCTAAAATATTAACTGACAGCAGCTTTTAGATTTACAGAAGATGAAAAACTTAAACTTTTGCTTTCCCTGAGCGACATTTGAAAGATTTTCCGGTTATATTGCACCTACAAATCCACTCATCTTCATGCCTATCCCCACATAGCAGGTTCCGGATTTAAGCTTGAATTTGTTGCATTGAAAATAAAAAACCTATCCATTGCATAAAAATGAAACTCAGAAAGTTAAGTGACATGAAATGTGGAAGCAATTTTGGCCTGCACTTCTTGGCTTTCTTCCACGCCCAGCAGCTGAGAGAGAGCACTCATCCTTTAATGACGTGTAGGAATGCTTCAGTTTTATGCGGGGTGTTCCTGGCATCTCTCTGTCACAGGAGCTCCACATGACGTCAAACTATAAACGGGAAGGAGGGAGTTTTGTCAAGAGCGCTGACGGAGAGAAAAAGTAGATTCATCGCTCACCACCGGTCCATAAATCTTGTTGCGCGACGACAAACACACCAACGCAAATCAAACGTGTTGCCATTGAACATTTCCAGGTTTCACAGGTCAGTTTTTGTCTCCAGGTTAGGTACATCTATATAAACACAGCTATTGTTCAGACCAAAAACTGACTGGGGTTACCAGCTCTGCACATGCTGCCTAAGCCTTCCTTCTGTTTGATATTTCTTCTGCAGCCCAATCATTACGTCATGAAGATATAATGGCAATTTTGTCCACATGTTCCGAATAGTAGTGTGAGGGTAGAAGTGCCAGCCAAACTGATGCCTAACCCTAACAAAAGAAAAGGTGTGGGGACAAAATTGGGATGGTTTAACCATATTTCCATACCATACTAACTTTCTTTTCAAAATCTCGGTATAGTTGGGCACAGAGGGAGGGAGAGTAAAAACTGTGAATGCTAAAAAGTATGTTTCAAAGTAAAAAGTGATGTAGGTGCACTAGTGGGTCTCAACAATTCTAACCTTATCATGGACTCTTTGCCCCAGTTGGTGAATCCGCCCATAGTGAGGAAATGGTGGCTTCCTGTTGTTTCAGAGAGCCTTCCTGCAAAAAGGTCTAGATATGTAATCCTTACACACCAGGGAAGACGAACAGAGAATAAGTAGACAAAATGACAGTCACTAGATTCTCTCTGGTGCCGTATGGGTGTTTCGTTATTCTTATCTGGGGTGAGTAGATAATTTATTTTGTATGTTTCTTTACTCCTCTGAAGCAATGTCCTCTCCTCTCTCTTTAGCACACATCTCAAGAGTAATATTGGAAACATTGAGCAATAGAGTAGCCTTTCAGGAAGAAGATAGGTTTTGTGATTACATTTCAATTGAAACAGTGTGGTTAAAAGGTTTTAAAGTTAGTTTGTTTCTTCAAATAAGATTTTTCGGTTTCTTTATGATAATTTTGGCATAAACATTGTATCTGTTTCTCAACATTGCACACAGTGGTCATCATATGCTGCTGTTTGTTGAAAAAAAGTTATTTATTTCTTGTAATAAGAGGAAATCATTGTATTCAGTTTCATAAGTCCTTGAGATGAAAATATCACAACGTCCACAAAGCACTTTGAGACAAAACGAGAATGTTAGATTGTGTTGATTCCCCACAGCTTGTTGTGTCCTTTACCCTTTTCCACTTTCGTAAATTCTGATAATTGATTAAACAAGACTGTTCATAAAAGCCTTCCTTGGCATTAGTTTTTTTTTCAACTGATCATTATGTATCTACTTAAAAGAGCTGCTATATTAGATCCTTCTGTAATTACCTCTGTTGATTGCAGGATGCACAACAGTGGTCTGTCTGGTCAATGAAGGGGCAACTGTGCAGCCGGTTACAGTACATGGTATATTCATTTCAAAACCATTGAAAAGAAAACTTCATGCATGATCTGCAACATCATTGACCGGGCTTCTCTTTCTGTACAGGTTACCATTCAACGGCTCACGTAAAAACTTGTAAGTTTCCAGTTTTACCTCTGCTACAGACCGATATCTGTGAGACTTTGTGGCCCTGCTGTCAAATTACAGCTGCAAATGCTCTGGTTTTGACCGAGTCTTACTGAAATCAGCTGGCAGAAATGGATAAATAATGTACAGATTTGAATCATTTCCCATTTTACTTTCCCACATTGTGATTATGGAAATCTGTCCATTCAGGGATTGCTTTGGAGCTCTTCTTTCAAGAGCTTTGCTTGGCCTGGAACAGGCAAAACCAGAAAGCACAGCACAGTGTTTCTGCTTTCCGCCAAGAGATCTGCTTATGTGTATTATCATGAGAATCCAAGATAAACTTCTGAGGGGGTCTCTACCAGAGAGGGGTCAACAGCAGTCAACATGAGGCCCATAATGGGTTGAGGTTAGAGGTTAACTGAAACCTCATTATAAGCAGGACCCCACCTGGCTCAACTTCCTGAATTTGTTCGTCATTTACCCCATGCAACGAGTGTGATCAATGCATGAACTCTGAGTTGTGAAACAACTGGAGCTTTAAAACAGCACCCCTTTCGCTGTTCCTCATCCTGTGCCTTCCTTTTTTTTTCTCTCCCCGACTGTCCCCCTCCTTTTCCTGCCAACTCCCCCCCAACTCTGGGCTCCTCCTCTGCTGAAAAGACACATTTCCTGATGTCATTACTAAATCAAAATGCTGCTCGACAAACAGATGTTGTGTGAGGCCCAACACGTAGGTTGTATGACATAAACCTACATGCTTACTGTGAGAAACCCTGAACAATAGGTTTTTAATTTTTTTTTTATTTGGTCAAATCTCACATTCTCATTTGCAGTAGTGTGTGGTGACAGTGAGAAACTACCAGACAGATGCACTGCGCTCAGGAACTGAGCTCCTCATGCCACGAGGAGAAAAGCACAGGAAAAATGTCCTACACCTGTGATGGAAACACTATACATTCCTTACAAGAGTGCATGTGTTAACCAAGTTAGATTTTTAAACAGCTGGTCAGCTCCGATTAACAACTTGTGCCAAATGTGGTCAAATTAACCTAAATATGAAATGGTGGCTATCTGCACAGCACACTCTACAGAGTCATGATTACATCCACCCCGAACCGCTAAGCCCTAAATGTTTACTTATGTTTCCTATTTGGCAGAGGCAGCCCAAAAGGCAAATAAATCACATGCTGTGAGCTGGCCAGGCCTATGACTGTGAGAAACTGAGACTAAAAAGCAGAACAAGAGTTAAAGAGTAAAGGGTTTTCAGATGTGAGTCCAGCCCCAGCTTGGGTGTGCTCCTTTTATTTGGGAGAATGGAGAGGACAATCTTTGTTGCCTCCACCCCTTTAAAAAAAAGGAATAAAATCGTGAAGAAACGTGCGTTGGACAGAGGAAGAGCGGCTGCCAAGACACAGGGCCATCAGACAGATCTTCGAAGAACATCTGGTAACTGCGGGCAACATTGTTTGGACATCTGGAAGCCGAAGCTTACACTCCGTCTCCTCCATCCTGTCGGGTTTCCTGTTATGCCTTGCTGTACACAGTCCATGAAGTTTGGGTTTTTTATACATGATAATCATCTGGGAAAAGCGCACCTCTATTCTTTTTTTGTCTGACATGAAGGGAGCACTTGGTTTCATTGGGGTATTCCTCTCTTTTCTCTCTGGTGAGTGTGTGGTCTCCCCTCTGCAGCTGCAAATGCCTGCCTTAATACAACAGATGTAAAGAGAGATACTGAGGCATGGACAGGAAAAATTCACTGGCTTCGCATTTAGACTGAACTAGCTTGTGTGGAGCATCTGACGTTTATTTTTTAATCTTAACAGTTGTATTTTTCTCTTCTGTTTAGATGCAACTGGAAGCACAGACATGCCAATTGGTGGGTGATATAGTTATTTTCTGTGGTACAACCTTGTTTGTCATTTTGATTGTAAACACTGACTTATATACGTATTCATTTTCTTTTTTTTCATGTTGTCTCCTCTACTCCTTTCGATCTTTTCTTGCAGCTTGTGGAATGACTTCTGACAAATGTATGGCCTTATGCTCCTACTGTTTACAATCTTTTTCTGGAAGTCAAATGGCTTGCCTGTCCGTACTTTTACATCCTATATGTCAGACCCGTTTTGAGAATGAAATGGCATTACTAAACAACACTGACTGGTGCATCTGGGCCAAGGTGAGCAGGTGAGTGGTGTGAGATTAATTGAGCTTTTCATTCTTTTTTGCATGAGAGAGATTGTTAAATATTTCCTGATATCTGACCATGTTCAAACGTACTCCCTTTTTTTCCAGTTTGTATAGCAACTTAAGCCTTTGCACAGAGGATCTATCTGACTGTCTCCAGATTCCATGGCCCAACCCACTGGTGGAAGAAATCTTTGTGGATATTCACTCCAATTTTTTCAAGGATTGCCCCACAGAAGAGTTCAGTGACCCGCCACCACCCATTGTTTTTGCCCTGGTGTTCATTCCCATCTGTCTGATACCGGTCATGGTTAGCCTGGTGGTGCTCAAGACCAAAAACGGGGATGGCAGCTCCTAACCATTCAGGATTCTTTCTCTGCTCACAGTTACTGTGAAGGTCCTTTGATGTCCTTTCAGTCCCAACCTGAGAACTGCTTGTTTGTGCACAGAGCGCAGCTGCATCTTCATCTCGCCGGTGACTTTGCAGAGGACTGAATCTCTGGAGAATCTCTGATAACTTTCAGAATTTATCCACCTCCTCTGAGAGACAATAACAGCTTGTTTTTTGTGCCACCACAAGAATAATTGTCTATAAAAAGACTTACTCATATCCATCAAGACTCGATATGGCTAAATCTATGCCCCGTACACAATACTGTATCTTATTTACTGTATGGTTGTGACATTTATTTTCACTCACCTGATTTGAACCACTTTGCACTCATTTTTTTAGAAAAGAGAGCTTCATTTGAAATAGAGGGCGTGCTATCAGGGTTATTTATGATGACAAAAGCTACGGCTTGCAAATGTACTAAAAGGGAAATACCAAATGACAAAGTATTCTTTCTTTAGAACTGCTTAACTTTTCCAATGCAAATGTTAGGTGTTTTATTTAAATGACAAATTAGAAAAGGTTTCGGAGGATGTGTGGAAATTCACGCATATTTTGTCTGAATTGGATAAAGATGTGCATGTGTCATGTCTACATGTGCGTGGGGAGAAAAGGAAAATAAGTGGTCTAAAGCAGATTCTAATGAATCTGTTTATGTGAGTCAGCATATAGGAAATGTAAGGTTAGAGGTTGCAGATGGGACACAATGAATGGGTGTGACCGGCGGGGCAGACCTCCTGTTAGTGTTTTTCAGATATCCTGATGTCTGTCACCTCTCCCTTCTGTTTGAAAAGAGTTGAATTAAGTGATTTCAATTTTATTTACATTCGGCCAGAAACAGAACTGTCCTTTTTTTTTATAGTGATAAACACTGAGTAACGACAAAAAGATTTAAAAAACTATCTTTGACTTGCATAATGTGTATGGTTATACATTGTTTAATTTCAAATGACGATAAAGCAGGTATGAGTGCTTTTAGAGAAACAAAATGTGTATTTATATTGGTTGTTATAATGCTGTTATTGTAAGAATATAGTCTACATATTGTTTGAGACAGTATGCCCTCCTAAAAATCATTGAAATATACACATTAAACATTGAATATACACATCTATCTATCTATCTATCTATCTATCTATCTATCTATCTATCTATC